TGATCTAGTAAAGGGCTGCCCATTTTGACCTAGTTCTAGATCGGTTTATTGGGCTGCAGCCCATATCGACTCTTATGTCCATCACTTTTTCTCCCTGCATTTCTTTTCATGAATCTGCAACTCCTAATTTTCAGCTCCCTCTCTTCCTATCCTTCTCTTTACCAATCACTCTCACATTGCATCAGCAGCACTGCTTCTCATACCCACTACTGTATACTCACTTTGCGGTTTATAATCATTGGTACTTCCACTAATTGTTTCAGTATTACTCTACTTTGCACTATCGTACCTACCATTGCTCGTGGAATTTATACATCATTCATTTACATGCATTCCAGAAGCTATGTTGGGATTGAGTGAGTAACGAGCTAGAGCCATACAGAGTACGCGATAACTGAATAGAAGGAAAACGGTCCTTGACCGAATTCCAAGAGTGGATTGCCCAGGTGGATCGATACGACAGTAACAACGACTACTGTACTCGTTTTACAGCATGGGCAATTATTCAAGTCGTGTACGGTTACCGAATCGTGGAATAACCCTAAACAGGGAATGTACTCCTTGCAAGTGCACATCTAGAATGGACTCTTCACCTGCCTCGTATCACTATTTAAACCATGTATCCCATGCAATTATCATCTAACCATTTTGCATTCACTCTAGTAAGGTCACCAAACAAAGACTTCCGCTGTCTTACTCAAGGACTGACAATCTTACAGAGATAGTATCGTAACTTGGGAGCCACTTTGGGATTATAAGTCCACCGTTCACCTTGCTGGCATTTTCTATTAGTGGCTATCAACAACGAAAGCTACACCACTCAATGCCAGCTGATGGAGAAGGCGGAGACTCAACTCCGCCTCGACTAACAATTCTGCCTTCAACGTTTGCCAGCAATGACCCCGCCATTGTTGACCAGCTCAGGGCAATAGAGAGTGAAATCCAGTACGCCCACAACACAGCTCACGCACCTCCTGCACACAATAGATGGGCGAATCAGAGGAATTGTTTATTGTCAACATTCGACACGGCGATCAACCACCTCACCATCATCCAGCTCACCTGGAGGTCCTCACTCTGTGCAAGAAAGGTTTTTTACCATCAGAAAGCTTCGCACGTCAACCATTTTTTATCGCAAGGAATTTCTATACGTGGAGCTTCGAATACAAACTACTCATTCAAATTGCGCAAATATGTATGTTCTACGACGGAACTTATGCCCTCCCACTCAACGGCTCACTTGAGGAGAAGTCGTGCTACTACAACGAGTCCCTCCTCACAAACTCGCTAGTGGTCAAGAACTTGTCCCCCGCCAAGTAGCTCGCTCGGCATCCGCACCTTCAAGGACACCCGCACTCCCGCACAATTTGCCTGGAAACATCTGCGTAATGGGGGGACACCAAGGAAGGGACTCCGTAACACCGGGTCTGTTGGTGCAACCCTATTGCTTGCACTCGGCTTGTCGTCCTTGTTTGTGTGTGTGCATGCATGGCATGGAATGACTTGTGAGTCTATGTCATTAATATCTAGTGCTTGTGTGTGTGTTTGAATGGTGTATCACAATGTGATTTGTGTCGGTCAAGACATTAGCGAGTTTTCACAACTCGCATGTCAAGCCGTCCTTTGCGTGTCGCATGTGTTTTTCTATTTTGTCGAGTGTGAAGTGTCCATCGAATTGCAGGTGTGTGCAGAAAGCCCTTATCAAATCAAGAAGAATTTATCTTGCAGAATCAAGACCAAGAGCTCAAGATTTCAAGCCCAAGGGAAGTGGATAAATATTAAAATAATGAAAATGGTAATGCTACTTCATGTAGTGTTACATTTCACTTGGTCCAGCCCCTTGTTGAGTTTGTTTCGAGTCCCTTCGTGGTTGGGGACTCTGTGGTGGTGTAGCACCAACCTGGACCTCGGCTCTTGGGGCTTGTAGAGGCTGAGAACTATCTCAATCTCGATTCTTCTTGCTAAGGTTGTACTTCTAAGACTATAGTGGCTGCTATACCTCCTGCCAGTCAAACCGCCATATTGTCGTCAAATCTTCATGGAATTTCATGATTCAACTTGCTGCTGATAGGCGACAAAAATGCGCTCCAGATCAAACTTATAGATCACCGTTTTAATCAGCAACCAGATCGTTATCAATATTTGAAAGCGTCTGACGGAAATCCGACTGTGATCTCTATCTCTTATTTTAGGCACATCTGAGACTATTGTGATTATAACAAGTGGTATCAGAGCCCATTGGAGCCATTTAGACCATGCCTAGATCTAGGGAAGGGGGTGGCAGAGGTGCTGGAGGCAAAGAAGATGCCCAAGTACAAGGCCAACACCAAGATCCACCCATTGCTTCCGTGCAAACTAGCTTTGGCCCTTCTAGGGATGGGCCTAGAGTGTTTGGCCTTAACAAGTTCAACGGTGACAACTTTGCTGAGTGGTCCTTCAAGATGGAGAACATCTTTGACCACTATGATCTGCTGGAGGTGATGGAAGGAACGGAGAAGCGCCTCGAGAACGATCCGAAGAAGAGCCCGTGGGTGCGGAAGAGCGCACAAGGCTATCTTCTACTTGGGCAAGCGTTGGGGAGCAGCCAAATCCGTCACATCAAGCCTTTTCAGCGTGAACCAGCAAAGGGACCTAAGGCATGGGCTGCTCTCAAGGGTGTAACAGTGGCGGTGGCTGTGGTTTTAGAGAGGCAAATGGCGGCACTTCGAATTGACGAAGGCGAACCGGTGGAGGAAGGAGTGCAGAAATTCTTCAACTTGTTGACACGGCTCGAAGGAGCTGACCTGAACTACAGTGACCTTCAAAAGAAGACCAAGCTCTTGGCCTTACTTTCGGAATCATGGTCCTTGCTCATCATCAACCTAAATCGAGATCTGCCCCGCCTCTCGCTCGAAGATGTGAAGCGGGAAATCTTACAAGAAGATTTCCGCCGTCGCGAATTGCGGGTCCCGATGGTGCCGGAGTTGCAAGCATGGGCCGTGGGCATGGCCCTGGAAGGGGCAGAGGGCGATGAGGCAGATTTGGCAGCAGTAACTTCAATGGAGGCCGTGGTAATGGAGGATATGGCAGCAACAACTATAATGGCTACTAGCGTGGGCGCGGTCGATTTGATGGCGAATGCCACTTTTGCCACAAGACCGGCCACATGTGGAGAGATTGCTAAAGATTGCTTGATGGATGGACCCCTTCTCAAGGCCAAGAGGGCAGAGGAGCAAGGGGAGGAAGAGGCAGAGGTTGTAGAGGTCGTGGTGGTCGTGGAAGCGAAGCGGCAAGCATGAAAGGTGGAGACTACGAGACGGGTCCGAGTGAAGATCGATACCCGGGCCAAATCTTCTTTGTCTCCACGCAAGCGGCAGCTCCAGCAGGAGGTGTGGAAGGCTTTGAGGAGCCAGCTACTATGGGAAAGGTCACCCTTCACTCTCTGGACTTTTGGGTGATCGATAGCGGCGCCACCTATAGCATGACACCTCGTGCGGACTTGCTCACCGAACTCGAACCGTCGCCGGTCAAGCATGTTATATCGGCTTTGAGGCAGCGAGCAGAGGTGAAAGGCATGGGCAAGGCCATGTTCAAGGGTGCTGATGGGAAGATGGTGGGCCTCAAGAACTTGCTTTGGGTGCCCAATCTAGCAGCCAACCTGATTTCCGTGCGGCGTTTGCAAAAGGCCGGCATGGACACATCTTCCAAGGGTTCCAAAACATATACCGCGAGGCTTGGTGAGCAGAAGCTTTGGGACCTTCATGAGGACAGGGACATCTACAATGAGATGTGGCAAATCCTAGTGGTCCCCATGCCTAAGGGGAGGCAAGTGGCAGCAAGCGTTAGCACGCAGGCTGAAGCAGTTGGTGGCGGTGATCACGGAAAGCAAAGTGACACCAAGAGTGACTAGCAAGGCGTGTGAACCCAAGGAGAGTGGTGCAGCAGCCAAAGGTGGTGGAAATGAGGAGGAGAAGCCTAAGATCAGCAAAGCAGCAGCAGCGAAGGAGAAAGGAGAGAGCTTGTGGGGCACGATTGCGAGTGCCGCTTTCTCCAACCCGACTTCCGCTACGGGAGAGTGTGATTGGCTGACCTTGCATCGGCGAATGGGGCATGTGGCATTGCCCATTTTTCAGCAGATAGTTAAGCAAGAGATGGTCAGTGGGATATGTGTCAAGGGGGAGCCCAATGAGGTGCTTGGCTGTCCAACATGCATGCAAGCCAAGTTCACCCGCTATCCGTTCCATCGCTCGGAGACAACGGCGAAGGCACCACTTGACAAGGTGGTGATGGATGTGGTGGGCCCCTTGAAGCTTGGAGCTGCTGGAGCAGAGTACTTCCTCACCATTGTGGACGTCTACACTCGCATGACTTGGGTGTATATGCTGCCCAAGGAGAGTGATGTAGCTGAAGTGGTGAAGACCGATTGGTTGCCGATGGTGGAGCGGCAACAAGACCGGCTTGTGAAGGCGATTCGCACTGACCGTGGGGGAGAGTTCCTGAGCAAGGACTTCTCAACTTGGCTGAAGAAGCAGGGCATAAGGCACTCACTCACCATGCCCTACTCTCCTACAATGAATGGCATCGCCGAGCGTGCGAATCGAACACTCACGGAGATGGCTTGGGGACTTCTCATTGAAGCCGGTCTACCCAATTACTTTTGGCCGGATGCGGTGCGACATGCTTGTGTGGCCAAGAACAGAGCCTTGACTCATATGGGAGAAGACAAATGGGTGCCCTATGTGGAGTGGATTGGAAGGAAGCCAAAGGTGGATATGCGTAGGGTGTTCAGGTGCATGTGCATGGCACTTGTGCCTAAGAAACTTCGGCACAACAAGCTTGATGCCAAGGCAACATGGGCCGTGCATCTGGGCATGGCTCAAAACAGAAAGGGATGGCTTCTTTGGGACCCATGTACCAAGAAGTTCTTGGTGAGCACAGATTGCAAGTTCATGGAGAACTTGTTGTGTGATGTCATCATATGCTATCACATTCTGTCTGCCTCTCATCTCTTGTTTCAATTCGTATGTATGGTTTGACTGTGTGTGAAAGAATTTGTGTGTGGTGTGTTCTGGAGTTTGGGGATGTGTTTTGTGTTATTCTGTCTGAGCAGGTATTTGTGATGATAGATCTTGAGAAGATCTTTCCGACGCAACAAGAATCGCTTCAATCGGAGCAAGAACGCGAAAGCTATGAAGATTCAAAGTTCATGAGCTTGCGTTACAATTGCGGCGGTTACAAAGTGAAGTTGTGGGGTGACTTTATATGGAGTTGGGACCTTTGGGAGTTGGGGAAATTTGTCACTCTACTGTAACAGCTGCAAATTGGTTGGGAACAACCAAGCTGGGTTGGCAAGGGTGGCCAACTTGGATGGATTGGTTGGGAAGGGACAAATGTCAAAGTTGGGGTTCCTATAGGGAGGGAATCTTTGTGCTTATGGGGTTTCCTTGGTTGGGGACTCTCTTGGGACCTTCCCTCTCGTCCCTCTCTTTCTATCCCAACCTTTCTCTTGCTCCTCTAATTCCTTGTGAGATTCTTGAACTTTGATTGAACTCTTGAGATTGAGTTAAGTTCTCCTCCTACAGCTTACTCCCTAATGCGTCGAAAGCCATAGCGTCGCGAATACTTCATCAATCAACATGATTCAAATTGGGAACGGTAGCTGAGAGTAAGAGCTACAACATATCCAAGTTTCGCGACATTCCAACGGCTAGTTTTTCGTCGACGTCGTTTCTTGTGAAGACGACTTTTCTGTCCAGAATTTCGGATTAATATTTTTGAGTAATTCTAGCTCCTAAGTTCACCTAGACTCCGTCCTTAATACTAACAAGTGGTATCAGAGCAATATTAAGGACATTGAGAGGAGTCTACAGAAGTGTGAAGACCCTTCTAGACCCACCATGGCCTGTGGGTGTGCCTAAGTGGTGTTCTAAAGGTTGGATGTGTCTTCCGCTAAGGGGAAACTCTGCCGAAATTTCGTGGACGCCGACACTTGTGAAAAATATCAAGGGAGCTGTGTGTGGACAGCAAAGGGGAGCTGAAATTCGTCATTTCTCAAGGAGAAGATGAATGAGAGAGGAGGAGATGCTAATGGAAGAGGAGCTGTAGCTGAGAAGACAAGTGAGCCGCCGCCATCAAAAGTTGAAGCTTTGGATGGCTCCAACTATGAGGAATGGAGCGGACGGATGAGGAGTGCCTTCAAACGCTACAAGCTACTGAAGATTGCTGTTGAGGAAGAGAAGATGCCGGAAGAAGGCGAAGCACGCGAACGGTGGATTGAGAAAAGCGCGGTGCTTTTCGACCTCATTCTTCAATCGGTCAACAAGGAGATGTTCGAGCACATCAAGGATCTTGTGGAAGCGGATGATTCGGGTCCAAGGGCGTGGAAACTACTACGTGATATGATTCAGCCCAACACTCTCCCAATGGTGATCGTGCTCGAGAAGGAACTTGCTCACATCTCCATGCGACCAGGGGACGATGTGAAGCCGGTCCTTGACAAGATCAAGGACACCTATGCAAGGATGGCAGCAGCGGGCAGCAGTGTATCTCAGCTGCAGCAGTGCACCAAGATCATCTCGGTGTTGGACAACTCTTGGGACAACCTCATCCCCACCCTCAACTCTCAGCAAGATCAATGGACACCTGAGTGGCTAAGGCAGCAGATTCTGCAGGAGGACTTCCGTAGACGCCATGTGGGAGGCGGTGCTGCCACGAAGACTGCTGAGGGGTATGGAGCTGCAGGGCGCGGCAAAGGAAGAGGGGGTTGGAGAGGCCGAGGCCGTGGGAGGAGCTTTGGCAGAGGTAGAGGCCGAGGTGACTATAATGAGGGGCATGGGAGCTCCAGTGGCAGGGGGAGTACCAGAATGGAGGGCACCTGCTGGTACTGCAAGAAGGTCGGGCATCCTTGGTTCAAGTGCTTCAGCAGGCCGGAGGGATGGGCACCTCCAGGCATGAAGCCGCCCAGTGGTGAACGCGCACAAGGTGGCGCTGTGCAAGGCTCAGGTGCACAAGGTGAAGGTGCACAAGGTAATGCCTATCCTGGTTTGTTTCTTATGGTTGAGGATGTGCATGGGCATGAGGGTGATGTGGGATCTGTGGGAAAGGTTGTGATGCACCCTCTCACGCACTGGGTGATTGATTCGGGTTGCACCAGTCACATGACCCCACGGGCAGATTTGCTTCATGAGGTAAAACCCCCTGGGAAGATCAAGTATGTGGCAGCAGCGTCAGGTGCTTTGCTCCCTGTCATTGGTGTTGGAAATGCCAAGGTTAAGGGAGCTAATGGGGAGCTTGTGGGGCTTGGGAATGTTCTGCTGGTTGAAGGCTTGTCTGCTAACCTTCTCTCTGTGCGACGACTGCAGAAGAGCAAGGCCGAAGTGACCTTTGGACCAACCAGCTGCCGTGCTAAGCTTGGGAAGAAGGTGCTGTGGAGTCTGGAAGAGGAGACCAGCTGCATCAAGGACCTGTGGCAGCTGCCCATCATCCCATGGAATGGGAAGACTCCAACAGCAGCAACGGCAGCAGCGGCAAAGGCAACAGCAGGAGGAGATGCAACTGCACCAACTGATGGGGTCCTGGAAGCAGTCAAGAAAGTGCAGCAGCAGCAGACACATGGTGAGGTGCTTGCTGGTGTGGATGCGAGTGCGGCATGGGCTAAGGCTTCATCAAGGAGTGGAGAGGCCGATTGGGAGACATGGCATGAGAGGCTGTGTCATGTGAACTTCCCTATGCTACAGAAGTTGGTGAAGGATGGGAGCCTGAAGGGCTTGGAGGTGAAAGGGGGAGTGAAGGAGATTGGGAGCTGCCCTACATGCTTGGAGACCAAGTTCTCCAAGTTCCCCTTCAACAGCACTACAGGACCAGCCAAGACCCCACTTGCACTTGTGCACATGGATGTGGTGGGGCCCACAAGAGCCCCTTCCCTCTCAGGCAGCGGCTATTTCTTCACAATTGTAGATGACCACACTCGGGCAGTGTGGGTTTACCCTTTGAAGAGCAAGGGGGAGGTGGCAGTGGCTGTCCTTAAGGAGTGGATGCCTAGAGCTCAGAGGGAATGCGGACACAAGGTGAAGGTGATCCGTAGTGACAATGGTGGGGAGTTCATTGGAGCTGATTTTGAGGGGGAGTTGAAGAGGAAGGGGATCCAACATCAACTGACAGTGCCCTACAACCCGCAGCAGAATGGCGTGGCTGAGAGGTTCAACAGGACCCTGCAGGAGGGGGCACGCACTCTCCTTGGGCGTGCAGGGCTGCCTGATCCGTTTTGGGTGTCTGCACTGAGGCAGGTCGCCCTTGTGAAGAACAGGGTGCTGGCTACAGTTGGAGATAAGGAGTGGATCCCATATGTCAAGTGGTATGGGAGTGCTCCAGCTGTGAACATGCTGAGGGCATTTGGGTGCATGGTGGTGTTTCATGTGCCTAAGGAGAAAAGGGGGAAGTTGGAGGCTTCTGGAAGATGGGGTGTGCACTTGGGGATTGCAAAGGATCACAAGGGGTGGCTGCTATGGGACTTGACCACCCAGAAGTTGACAGTGTCAAGGGATGTGAAGTTTCTTGAGTCCCTGTACTACAAGGAATGGAAGCAGCAGCAACAGAAGCTTCCATCTACACCGCTCATTGTGGAGGCAGATGAGGTGCAGCAGCCTTCAAGACAGGTGGAGGCTGCAGTGTCAGAGGAGGAGATGTCTGGGGTGACTGAGGAAGGGGGAGCAGCTGAAGTAGAGCAGCAGCAGCAGCAGCAGCAGCAGCAGCATGAGTCTCCACCTCGAGTTCCACACCCGCCTGAGCGTCCTAGGAGGGATGTGCGCCCTCCAGTGAGGCTGACCTATGGGGGAAGAGGCAAGCCGAATGTGGTGCAGGCTGGGAGTGTGGTTGAGCAGATTGAGGAAGATGAGATCGCTCACTGCTACTGGGCACCAATCCCTGAGCCCAAGACTCGAGAGGAGGCTTTGAATGGACCAAATGGGGAGAAGTGGAAGGTGAGTGAGGATGAGGAGTTCGGGTCCCTAATTGAGAACGAGACATGGGACCTGTGTGACTTGCCTCCTGGAAAGAAGGCAATCACTTCCAAGATGATCTACAGGCACAAGTATGGACCTGAAGGGGAGCTGACCCGCTACAAGTCTAGGCTTGTGGCACGGGGGTTTCAACAGACAAAGGGGAAGGACTATGATGAGGTGTTTGCTCCTGTGGGGAAAGGAACAACACTGAGGGTGCTGTTGGCGATAGCTGCACTCCTGGGATGGAAGATTCGGCAGATGGATATTGTGACTGCCTTTCTGAATGGGATCATTATGGAGGAGGTGTACATGAAGCAGCCAGAGGGGCTGGATGACGGGAGCGGCAGGGTCTGCAGGCTGAAGAAGGCCATCTATGGCCTTAAGCAGGCGCCTCGTGCATGGTATCACAAGTTGGAGGAGGCGCTGTTGGCTGGGGGTTTCAAGAAGAGTGAGTGTGACCCCAGCCTGTTCCTGCTACAGGAGAAGGATGAAATCCTCATGCTCTTGGTGTATGTGGATGATATCCTTCTCTTTTCTGCATCCACTGCTTTGCTGGACAGCGCAGAGCAGATGCTGGAGATGCAGTTCAAGTGCTCCAAGATGGGTGAGGTGAAGTACTACTTGGGGATGCACGTGGAGAGAGATGTGGAAAAGGGTGTGCTGAGGTTGCACCAGAGGAAGTACTGTGAGGGGCTGGCTGAGAAGTATGGGCTGCAAGATGGGGGAAAGCCAGCAACACCACTACCTTCGGGGTTTACCGTGGAGCCATGTGCTGATGAGGAGGTAGTGGGTGAGAGTGACAGGAAGCTGTTTCATTCGATGGTTGGGTCGCTGAATTATGCTGCAAATCATACACGGCCTGACATTGCATTTTCTACATCACGGTTGGCTAGTGTGGTCTCACGCCCTAGTCATGAGCAGCTGGAAGCGGCCAAGAGGTTGGTCCGCTATGTGAGTGCTACGGCATCAGTGGGATTGGAGTACAGTGGAGTGAGGCAGCGGTTGCAGAGAGGTGCTGCAGATGTGAAGAGTGGAGAGATGCTCTTGAGTTGCTATACTGACGCTAGCTTCAACTCAGTGAAAGCGGATGGCACCAGCATTGGGGGTTATGTGTGCTTGCTAGGAGGTGGTGCTGTGAGCTGGCGCAGCAAGAAGCAGAATGAGGTGGGATTGTCCTCATGTGAGACTGAGTACATGGCCTTACACCATGGGGCCAAGGAAGTAGTGTGGCTAAGGCGTTTGTTGGAGGAGTTGGGAGTTGGTCAGGAGGAGCCGACAGTTGTGTTTTGTGACAATGAGTCCGCTGTGAAGCTCGCCAAGAATGCTTGTCTGCATGGGCTGACAAAACACATAAGGCCTAAGTGGCATTGGGTGAGGAGACTCCTTGATAAGGAGGTGCGGCTGGAGATAGTGAAGACCCATCAGCAGGCAGCAGATATTTTCACCAAGCGTCTGGCGGAGGCGGATCATTGGAAGGGCATGAAGCTTGCTGGGATGAGTGTGCATTGAGTATGCATGCTTGAGATGTTGGTATGGTGGTTGATGGTTGGCAGCCAGAGGGGGAGATTGTTGTGTGATGTCATCATATGCTATCACATTCTGTCTGCCTCTCATCTCTTGTTTCAATTCGTATGTATGGTTTGACTGTGTGTGAAAGAATTTGTGTGTGGTGTGTTCTGGAGTTTGGGGATGTGTTTTGTGTTATTCTGTCTGAGCAGGTATTTGTGATGATAGATCTTGAGAAGATCTTTCCGACGCAACAAGAATCGCTTCAATCGGAGCAAGAACGCGAAAGCTATGAAGATTCAAAGTTCATGAGCTTGCGTTACAATTGCGGCGGTTACAAAGTGAAGTTGTGGGGTGACTTTATATGGAGTTGGGACCTTTGGGAGTTGGGGAAATTTGTCACTCTACTGTAACAACTGCAAATTGGTTGGGAACAACCAAGCTGGGTTGGCAAGGGTGGCCAACTTGGATGGATTGGTTGGGAAGGGACAAATGTCAAAGTTGGGGTTCCTATAGGGAGGGAATATTTGTGCTTATGGGGTTTCCTTGGTTGGGGACTCTCTTGGGACCTTCCCTCTCGTCCCTCTCTTTCTATCCCAACCTTTCTCTTGCTCCTCTAATTCCTTGTGAGATTCTTGAACTTTGATTGAACTCTTGAGATTGAGTTAAGTTCTCCTCCTACAGCTTACTCCCTAATGCGTCGAAAGCCATAGCGTCGCGAATACTTCATCAATCAACATGATTCAAATTGGGAACGGTAGCTGAGAGTAAGAGCTACAACATATCCAAGTTTCGCGACATTCCAACGGCTAGTTTTTCGTCGACGTCGTTTCTTGTGAAGACGACTTTTCTGTCCAGAATTTCGGATTAATATTTTGAGTAATTCTAGCTCCTAAGTTCACCTAGACTCCGTCCTTAATACTAACAGAACTTACCGTACAAGGAGTGGAAGGCGGAGAACCAAGCGAAGATTGGTGTGCGGCTTGGAGAGGTGAAGAGTACCAGCTTGGAGCATGTGGAGCTGCCCTTGGAGCTGAGTAGCAGCAGCACAATCACAAGGCAATATCCTCAAATGAATGGGGTAGAAGAGGAGGAGGAGGTGCAGCAAGGTGATGAGCGTGCACTGTCACTTCCGCCTCGTGCTACAAGTACTCGCGAGAACCGACCAGATTTGCAGCAATGCCATGAGAGCATTCAAGTCCCTGCAGCAGAGGAGGAAGGAAGGGGGAGAAGGAAGATTCAGCCCCTCAATGGGTTGAGCTATTAACGGCTTGGAAGACCAGCCAACTCAACCTTGACCGGTTCGGCTCTCATGCTAGGCGATGATGAGGAAGATGAAAGCGAGGAGTGTGCTTTTGTCTTCTTCTCCATTGTGGAGATACCGAGGGAGCCTACAAATCCCAAGGAGGCAAGGGAGGGCCCCAATGGGAAGGATTGGAAGAAGGCCTTAGATGAAAAAATGGGGAGCATCATAGAGAACGACACATGTGAGTTGGTGAAACTACCTCCTGAGCGTACGACAATTTCTTCCAAGTGGCTCTTCAAGCGCAAGACCGACGCCGACGGCAACATTGAGCGCTACAAGAGTAGAATTGTAGCCAAGGGGTACGAGCAGCAGGATAAGAAGGACTACAATGAATTTTATGCTGTTGTGGTGAAGCGTACAACCCTTCGAACTCTCTTCGCCGCGGCGGCCATCAAAGGATGGTGGTGAAGCAAATGGATATAGTAACGGCCTTCCTCAACGGAGTTTTGGAGGAAGAGACATTCGTGGAGCAGCCAGAGGGGTACAATAATGGGAGTAGCATAGTGTGGAAGCTGAATAAAGCACTCTATGGCCTCAAGCAAGCCCCTAGGCAATGGTACATCAAGCTGCGGGAAGTCTTGGAGGCGATCGGCTTCACTCCCTCAACGGCCGATCAATCCTTGTTCACGCTTAGTGAGAGGGAGCAGAAGAGCTTTATGGTGGTTTACAGTGACGGAAATAATTGTCCGGATGTTTTGCATTAATTAGGGTTTTTGGGCTTTCCGACCACTGTACATAAAGTCTCAATGTTTAATGGTGGTACGCTTTGGGAGGGGCACATAGTGGATGTGTTCACAGCACTAAAATCCATGATAGTACACTGAATCTAACTTAGTGCCAAAAGATATGCAAAGAGTGCATCCGGACAAATGTTTCCCAGGACAAAGAGCAAACTTTCGAGCAGCGTTTCTATTACCTAGTCAACCGACACTTGGCCTTGATCACCACCCGCACCCTCCTAGGTATGTTATCTACGAGGTTAATGCAAACCTTTACAGCGATCTTCTCGCACTCTTCCTAGACCCACGCTTTTGCATAAGGGGATGAGCACTAGGAAAATCGCGAAGGATTTGAGCATATGCAAGATTATTGTGCACGATTTCATATTGAATGTTATCTCTAAGACTAGCCAAGCTGAGGTGTTGTCACAGGATCGAATGTGTCGAGGAAAGGTTGCACTATCGATCAGTACAAGGCGCTTTTATACTTCCAGAGTACATCAGGTAACCAGGTTTATCTTATCCTAAAGAAATAGACCCTTCTAGAAGATAGAATCATCCTGCGTATAGCCACGCGAGGCTATTGGCTTTAAGGGATTACAGCAGGATTACGCTAGATAGAGCGCACCAATACATCCCAAGCCTGGTCGGTGATATAATGATAATAGCAGGATAAACCAAAGATTGATGGAAAAGGAAGAATAGGAAACCAAATGAGATGCGGTAAAAAGAGAAATGAAAAGGGAAGGAAATAAGAAAAGGCCAAGTGGTGTAACGGGGTCGTACTCTCACACTTCCCCCCCTCAAAGCTGGGTGGTAGAAGTAACACCCTGCTTGACAAGGTAGTCATGCAGAGGACGACGGGCGTTACCCATGTCGGACTCAGGTACCCAGCTGTCCTCAGAAGGATCATAACCCTTCCAACGGATGAGAAGCTCCACAGTGCCATTCCGACGACGACGATGTGCAAGCACGGACTCGACCTCGTACTCGGGTTCGTTCTGGACGAGGACGGGCGGCGGCGGCGGCGGCTGACGTCCCACGAAGATCGTGTTAGGATCTCGATAGGGCTTCAAAAGTTGGACATGGAAGGCGTTGTGAATCTTCTAGGTAGCTGGCAGGCGTAAGCGGAAGGTAACAGGAGTGACCTGTGCTTCAACGAGAAAAGGCCCGCAGAAGCGAGGTCGAAGTTTAGATGGGAGGTGGCTGATGTCCAGGTTGCGGGTGTCAAGAAGCACCTGGTCTCCCACCGTGATGGTGTGATCGTTGCGATGGCGATCGGCTTGGCGCTTCTGTTGCTGTTGAATATCGAGGAGGCGCTGGTGGGTCCGATCCCAAAGCTGATGCATGGTTGTGATGAAGTCGTGTGCAGGTTGTACTGTTGCTGATGCTGTCGGTTTTTGTGGTGTGAGTGGGTGGCGTCCGTAGCAGAGGAAGAACGGCGTCTGTCCAGTAGCGGCATGTGTGCCATTGTTGTAAGCAAACTCGAGTACGGGCAGGTGCAAGTCCCATTTGGAAATGTCGTCCTTGCAGGCTGCTCGGAGGAGTTGCTCAACAATTTGGTTGAGGCGCTCGGTCTGTCCGTCTGTCTGCGGATGGTATGCGGATGACATGGCGAGTTTGGTCCCGAGGAGAGACATAAGTTCCTTCCAGAACTTGCTAGTGAACTTGGGGTCTCGGTCGGAAATGAGTGTAGTTGGGATGCCATGCTGTGAGATGATGTGACGAACGAAGAGCTGTGCTGTCTCCTCGGTGCATGCCGTCGTGTGTGTCGGGATGAAGTGTCCCATTTTGGAGAACTTGTCAATGACGACAAGGATGGCGTCATGACCGCTGGAGGTAGGTGGTAACCCGGTGATGAAGTCCAGGCTAACCACTTGCCATGGTTGTTCTGGGACAGGAAGAGGCTGCAGTAGTCCCGCCTTTTTCTGCTTGCTGCTCTTCATCCGCTGACATGTATCACACGAGGTGACGAATTTCTGGACGTCGTCTGCCATATGGGGCCAGTAGTAGTGTTTGGCGATACCGGTGAGCGTCTTGTTGCTACCGAAGTGTCCGGCGTAGAGGACGTCGTGATATTCTTCGAGTAGTAACTGGCGCAAAGGAGGGTAATTGGGTACCCAGATTTTTGTTGATCCTTTCCGGTACGCGATGTCACTGTCCCACTGTAGCAGATGTCGCTTTTCTGCCAAGGAAATTTCGGGGTCGATGGCGTACCCGTGTGTGAAGAGTCCCTTGAGTAGTGGATTCATCCCTTCGACCTGAATCGCGGCAACGTGTGCAGGCCGGCTGAGAGCGTCTGCTTTGTTTTTGTGGCCGGGCTTGTACACGATGTCGTAGTGGAAGTGTGTCTCGAGGAAGTCGATCCACCGGACCTGCCGCCTGGAAAGGTTGGGTTGTGTCTTCAAATATTTCAGGCTGCAGTGGTCGGTGTAGACGGTCGTTCTTCGTCCTTCGAGATAGCATCTCCACGCTTTGAAGGCGATGACGATAGCAAGAGCCTCTTTGTCGTGTATCGGGTAGTTGAGTTCTGCCCCGTGCAGTTTCTTGCTGAGGTAGGCAATTGGTTGCAGTCCATTCCCCTGGTCTTGCATCAAGACTGCTCCCACGGCCTGATCACTGGCGTCTGCTTCAATGATGTAGTCACGTTCGGGATCTGGCAAGATGAGCACCGGTGCGGATGTTAGCGCTTGTTTCAGCTGCTCCACGGCTTCCTGGTGCTTCGTCTCCCATTTGTAGGACGTGTTCTTCTTCAGCAGATTCGTGAGTGGTGCCGCGAGTTTCGCATACTGTGGCACGAACCTGTTGTAGTAATTAGCGAAGCCTAGGAACTGCTGCAACTCCTTCACGTTCTCGGGTGTCTTCCACGTACGTACGGCTTCGATTTTCTTGGGGTCGACGTGAACTCCTTGAGCGCTCACCAGGTGCCCTAGGAACTGGACTTTTTCAAGGGCGAATTCGCTCTTGGACAGTTTGACGTAGAATCGTTCCCGTCGAAGAATTTCGAAGACGCGTCGCAGGTGTTCGGCGTGCTGCTTCATGTCGCGCGAGTAGATGAGTATGTCGTCCTGGTACACCACCACGCATTCGTCCAGAAGTGGTCGTAGAATGTGGTTCATTTCGGCTTGGAACGTTGCCGGCGCGTTGGTGAGTCCGAACGGCATGACCAAATACTCATACGATCCGTACCGAGTTCGGAAAGCAGTTTTGTGGATAGAGTTGTCCGCCATCCGTATCTGACAGTATCCGGACCGCAGATCCAGTTTGGAAAATACCGTAGCTCCCCGAAGCTGGTCAAGCAGGTCATCGATTCGCGGTATCGGACATTTATTCTTGATGGTCTGCTTGTTAAGAGCTCGGTAGTCGATGCACATGCGCAGGCTTCCGTCCGGTTTCGGTGTGAAGAGTACTGGGGCACCGTACGGCAAAGTGGATGGTCGGGTGAGTCCTTTAGCTAGGAGATACTCGATCTGCTTCTTCATGTCGGTCAGCTCCATAGGGCTGAGTCGATATGGTGCTCGGAAGGTCGGCTTCGAACCCGGTTCCTCCACGATCTCGTGTTGATGCGTTCGGTATGGCGGTAGCTCGTTCGGAAGATCGTCAGGAAGAATGTCTTGGAACTCCTTCAGTAATTCCTTGATTTTTTCTGGAGTCTCCGAGGCTTTCTCTCCGTCATTCTCCACCTCTGTTGCTATCGCCAGGAACCCGGTGTCGGTCCGCTTCACGTCCTTCTCGAATCGTGCGAGTGTCTCCACTGGAATATCTCCAGTATCGTCCCAGTTGGGTAGCTGTACTCTCCGTCCATTGTTGTAGATGCTTGCGGTGCGGTTCACCCAGTTGATCTCGGGGTTGAATTTTTTCAGGAAGTCTCGCCCGAAGATCAAGTCAAGCCCTTTGATGTTGGTGATGG